AAAAAAATAATATGAATGAGTGTCAGGTTGTTGTTTGTTTGTTTGTTTGTTTTGTGATACTTGTCCTAATGGGGAATGTGGTGCTCTACCACTGAGCTACACATCTTGCCCCCTACTCTCTTTTAATATTGAGGCAAGGCCTATGTTTCCCAGGCTGACCTAGAATTGGCCATCCTCCTGCTTCACTCCTTCCAGCAGCTGGGATTACAGGCCTGTGTGCCACTGTGCCCATCTATATGAATTTCTTTTACATAATTCGCATCTGTTATTTTCACTTCAGACCAAGGAATTTTCTCTAACTCACATTTTTACTTATATCTGCAAGTTTATAACATAAACAAACCAAAACCAAAATGCTCAGTCAGCATGGATTGTCTACCATGTGCTTTTCAAATAGTTGAGGGGCAGAGATTTGACACTTGGCTCTCTTATCAGGATTGTCTATATTCAGCCATTCATACACACTAACAAATCATTTAACAGCACTGTGATAATTACTAAGAAAAAGTGGAACACTCCACACATAGAGTTCTGCCCTCAGGCTGCTTACTGTCTCACCTACCACCATCCTTTGTAATTTTTACTTCCTATAAGGGATAAGGATCCCCTTTCCAAGTACTTTTTCTCTGGTCACTGCATTGGCATCAGAGGATGATGTTTATATCCACAGGGTCTTGTTATATATTACCCTACCTGGCTCCCCATTCGTTATCTCATTTCTAACATAAAAATCAAGGTATGGGAGGAAGCTGGGAATGAGGTGAGGCACTGGAGTTAAATGAGGTCATTAGGGCTGTGGTCTTAGTGATAGAACTCAGCTGCAGCAGCTTTTGTATTCTTTACCAAAGCGGGGGAGGGGTGGAATTGAGCTGAGATGCAAGAGCAAGTTGGGAGCTGTGATCAGCACCATTCTCCCAGTCCTTGGCCATCCTAACAGTGTGTCTTTATTGGAGTGGGGGGAACTTAATTAAGCCTATTGAGAGTGTGTGGGACTGGGATGGGGGAGGCAGTCAGGGACTGCTGCTGTATTGGCTCCAGGATTGTCTCCAATATAGATGGTTTGAGAACATAGGAAGAGATTCTAAAATTGTAGGAGACTTGCAGGAGCTTCTAGGAAAAGGAACACAGAAAACAATGGTAGAAAAATAGAAAGTTGGGAAACATGGGGGGAATAAGGAGACTCAGAACTCACTACATTTTCCTCGAGCAGTATTCTCAGCCCTTCATAACATTAGAATCATTTGGGGAGCTGAAGAAAAACAACAAACAACCCCAAAACTCTAGAAAGTTCAAAACTTAAGACATTGGTTGGGGTGAGAGTTTTAATATTTTGGGTAAATTTTAATTAACTCCTGTGAGCACATTTTCTCATTTGATACACTAGGATTACAGATTTCTTCCCAGTGAGAGTTAAATGACAGCATATGCAAGGAAATTCCCACATTCAGTTATGATTCAGTGAAAAAGTGAATGCTAGCACAGCAGCCTGAATCCAACACTTACTACAGGGTTGTGTTATTATATAGATTTAACACTGGCTCACATACCAGCGACTGGAGCTCTGCCATATGCCTGCATATGCTGGAGAGAAGCAGACCCTGAACACTGGCATCTGCTTCTTGCCCCCAATGGTGATGATGCTGTCACCTTGTTTTTCAGGTGACACCTTCTCTCTGCTGGCTTCCAAAGGGTGAATCCAAAGGCTTCCACAGATTCTATGCCTTCTAGGTGGATTCATCTGAGAGACTGCGATTGGTATCTGGGAACCTGGTGAAGTTCACTCCCTCTGGCCTGCTTACTGTGATCAGATGGGAGAGGCTCCTCCTGGATATGTGGCTTGCAGTAGGTGTTGGGTAAGCAGGTGGGTGGCCCTAGTAAAGGAGCAGAAGGCCTCGGGTGAGTGAGGAGACAGACCACAGCCACAGGTGAACCATCCCAGAGAAGATGAAACCCGCCTTTAGCCTTTTGGATACAGCGGCCCTAGGAGAAGTAGAGACTGTGCTCAAGGTGGGTCTTCAGGTTTAAACCTGGGCAACAGCTCAGGCTTTGCCCCTACACCTGCCTCCTTCCTAAGAGCAGCTCTTTAGCTGTATTCTCCAGTTTCATTTGCCTCAGTTTACCTTTTGACCACTCTGATGCCTGGTGCAACTGGTTTTTCTTTCCACAGAGGCCCAAGGAGACTTCAGCAGCGCCCTTCAGTAGCTAAAGGAAAAGAGAAAGGACTCTTTTAGGGGTGCTTAGCGCTTTACCTTCCCAAAGCAGTCCGGGGTATTCGACCTTCTGATGCCACCTAGTGGACATCTAACGTCAAAACACCGGGAGGCCAGAGGCTCTGTGAAGCAGGTGAAAAGCCCACAGGGAATGTGGATTTTCTAAGTGGGGTTATTGTCGCTCAGTCTGATGACAGTTTCCAACTGAAACAAAGTTCTGAGGGATCTTAATATAGTTGCCATCTTCCTCTCCATCATTTCCTTTATCCTTCCAATGCAAGTGTTTAGAGCTCTGCCCATGGATGGGAAATGAACATTCAGGTAGTTAGAGAATGCAGTAGGAGGAAAGTTCCCTATAAAACTAATCAGTCTAATAAAGTTAATGAGCCCTCAGAGCTTCTGAGAAAGCCCCTAGCCATGTGTTTTTGTAACTTGCACACTTAATGTTTTTCAGTCTTCCTTAAATAGATTCCTCTAACCCTCCCCCAATTGCGTGAGCTTCCTCTTCCACAAAATCTGGATACACCCCTAGCTGGACTGGTGAGTATCACAAGTGGACCTGGGAATTTCAAAGGATATGGCTGTCAAAAAGGTGCTAGGGAGAGGGGAAAGAGAAAGAAGGAACTATAAAGACCTATTGGGGAAGGAGGAGGACTGGGTTGGCTTTGGGCTAAAACTCAGAGCTTAGTAAAACCTGAGAAATTGCACTTTGCCTCAGGCTCTCCTTTCTGTCTCTTCCTGCTTCTGGATTTGCCCACTTGATCTTCTTGTTCCTACCCAGGGCCACTACAATGGTGCCCTCATGGGTAATGTTGAATTGCAAGAGATTTGGCTGGTGGCCCAGAGTAAGTAATCTGGGAGTAGGTTATTGTTTTCATTTCTTCTATAATTAATTATTTTTGGTGCTAGGTATTGAACTCAGGGGCACTCCACCATTGAGCCACATCCTAGCCCTATTTTGCAATTTAATTAGAGACAAGGCCTTACTAAATTGCTTAGCACCTCACTTTTCTGAGGCTGGCTTTGAGCTCATGGCCTCTTGCCTCAGCCTCCAGAGATGTTGGGAATATAGACATTCATCACTGTGCCCAACTCATTTCCTCTTTTTTGACTTTAAATGTTTGTTATAAACATTTAGTGACCTTTAATAAATTAAGCTTAACAAAGTCAAAATCTTTTTTCTTTAATCTAAAAACTTTAAAACTTTAAAAATATACATATGCTTTATTAGTATTCTGTATATTTGTCTTTTGTTACTATATTTTCTCCAAAAGTAATGCCAGTTTAAACTTACCTCTTGTATTTGATCAACAGATGTAGACAGTTCAATAAGGTTAAATGCCTCATTTTTTCCAATGACATCTACTTTATAATATATGATTTCCAAAATTTGTTTAAGAAATTTTGTCTGGCTAGGCATGGTGGTACACACCTGTAATCCCAGCAGCTCAGGAGGCTGAGGTATGAGGATAGAGAGTTCAAAGGTAGGCTCAGCAATTTAGCAAGCCCTAATCAACTTAGTGAGACCCTGTCTCTAAATAAAATACAAAAAAAGGCTGGGGATGTGGCTCAGTGGTTGAGTGTCCCTAGATTCACTCCCCCATACAAAAAAAGAAAAAATAATTCTGTGTAATTGCAATGTCATAGATATTCTGTGTTTTCTTGTAGTGAAATTTAAATTTTCATATTTAGGTCCTTATTTATGGCTTATATTACTTTTGGGTATGAGGTAGAGATGTTCACAATTTCATCTCTATATGAAAATTATAAATCCCAATATTATTTCACTTATCGATATGAAATGTCTCCAGTTTACACAAAATATTTATTTTTTTGTCTGCTTAAGCCAATTAATGTTTCCCCTAATTAATTGTCTCACCAGAAAGAATAGAAACACTGATTAAAAAGGATGAATTCCAGGTGGCCATATTTGCTACTCACCCTCTTGGAGTGGGCACATCATAGGTCAGGTGTCATTTCTGATTTCTGATGTCATCCTTTGTCTCCACACCTGCCTTACTGATCTGACTAAAGGGCAGTGATGTCCTTCACCTCTACATTGCCAGCATCTAGCAAAATGCCTGGACCTTCAGCACTGTGCATAGTTTGTTGAAGAGCAGAGCATTTGGCCTGGTAATAATGGAGATGAATCCTCAGCTGATGTCTACTGATCCCAATGGAGCTGAACACTGACTACCACTGTGCTCTCCTCCACTGCCCCTCCACTCTGTGTTTTTTTTTTTTTAAGAGAGAGAGACAGAGAGAGAGACTTTTTTAATATTTATTTTTTAGTTTTCGGTGGACACAACATCTTTATTTTATTTGATTGTGGTGCTGAGGTTCAAACCCAGCACCCCGCGTATCCAGGCAAGCACATTACAGCTTGAGTCACATCCCCAGCCCATGGGATTTTTAAGTCTGAATTCTAAGACCTTCCTTGAATTAGCTCCAAGTGTAGAGCCAAACCCAGCTTGGAAGTCCTGAGGTCTTGACTATAGCTTAAAGATTCTGGTTTCTGTTTCAGCCCTTCTTTGATGAATTGACTCAATATCATTTTCTCAGTATCAGTGTCCTGTTTCTTGTAAACAAAACTGGATTTGGCCATTTGCTCTGCATTGACTACTGTGAGGATTTGTGGGTAACTGTAACTAATATCTTCAGCCAGGGAAACAAGCATATTGGAAGAGCACTTACATGGGTGAGTACTTGAGTTAAACCCCATCACTGCAAGAAAGAAAAAAAGAGAATGCATTCTCTGATTGGTTTATGGAAGATTGAAAGATTCAGTTTCTGGAAAAGTGAAATAGATCTGGAAGCATGAAAGATTAGACCAAGTGAAGCCAGAATTAGACAGGTAGTCAGTATAGATAGGTAAATTGACTTAGGTCACACCAAGGAGACTAATTTTGAGTAAGTCTGAGAAGTTGGACACTGTCTCCTGAGGGATTGAAATGTTAATTCCTTCAGAGCCCTTCCTCCACCCTTATCAAGAATCTATCCCTGCTCCATCCTGTTGCCAAGGTAACCTGTCCCAGGAATTGCTCCTCCCTACAGGGAGCTATCAGGTTGCTAATGTGTCCTTGGCTACTCCATCCTGCCCTTTTCCCTTCAGCCCACCTGTTTCCCACCTTTGGGCCATCCCACCAAACATTCCTAGGCCTAGTGCTGGGCCTAGTCACATAGGGAAGAAGGAGAAAGATAAGGGGGGAAAGGCAGGAGAACAGGGCTGGGGTTGTGGCTACCATTTCAGGATTCTGGGTTTGATCTTCAGCACCACATAAAAATAAATAAATAAAATAAAGGTATTGTGTGGAGCTACAACTCAAAAAATAAATAAATAAAAAGGCAGGAAAACAAAGGAAGCCTAGGACATACAAAAATGGCAGAACACCTCACTTCTTAGGATACCAGGATACCAGCTATGGCCCCCTTCTCCCTTGAGGGAGAAATCTGTGTTACACAGATTTTTAAATAAATCCCTCTTTATTTGCTTGCCTTGATGTGAAAGGTGAGTGACTCACTGGAGACAGACGTTCAACCAAGAGATTTTATTGGGAAGCTGATTGAAGGGGAAGAAAAGGAGAGGCAGAGAACAGAGAGGAGAGGAGGAGGGCAGAGAGAAAGAGAGCAGGGAGAAGAGGGTGAAAGCAGAGACTGCAGTAGAAGAAGATAGTGAGAAACTGATGTGACTCCATTTTTTACAACAGCTTCTACCTCAAGGCCTGTCCAGAGGGAGGAGGCTTGACCTTTGTCCTTAGAAAAACCCACAGAGTACTCCTAGGCACATTCCCACCCTGCTGAGTTGTTTGTCTGCAAATACAGGAGAGATCTGTGGTGCCAGGTGTCCCTGACTCAGGCTAGGTGAGGACCCATAGCAACCCCCTAGCAACCACCAATCAGCATGAGACAGGGAAAATACCTGGGATGCCAGATGACCACACAGTAGTCTCAGTGGTTGATAACATGTTAGGAAACCACACATATATGTGCTATATGTGTATATAGCACATATACCCCTCACAGATTAAACAAATCAGTTCAAATGAATCCCCCTCTTGTACTAACCAATACCCTTCCCCAACTTGTTCCTGCCAGTGAATGTGCTAATCAATGTTAAGAGTTGTTGTTTGACTTTCCCATGGTGTGGAATGATTTGCTTTGTGATGTTGTGACACATAGAGTATCCCCCCCAAACCTATAAAATCTCACTGAACTAACCACAGGGCTCACTCCTTGGGACTGCTGCATTGGAGAAATGGTTCTGAGTCCAGGCCCGAGCTTGCAATAAAGACTCTTGTATGATTGCATCAGATTAAGCTTCTGGAGGTCTATCAGGGTCCCATGAATCTGGCATCACAAGGCAGAGAGAAAGAAAGTAGAAGATAGGAGAGAAAGAAGAGGAAGAGGGCAGAGAGGAAGAGGAAGATGGCAGAGAGTGTGAGCTTGCAAGCTTTGGCTTAAGAAGGGTTATGTAGGTGATGTGGCAGGTGCTGATTGGAAGGGTGACTCAGGAAAAGAGAGTGCACACTGTGTCCAGTGGGGATTGGTCAAGAAAAACCTTTGAATTTTATGCTTTTCAGCTTGGCACCCTTCAGAGAGGAGGAGAGGGGTTAAGGGATTCTGTAATGTTCTCTGGAGACTTAACTTCAGCAGGGAGTCTCCTATGCACCCAAAATGATGTGCTTCTCTAATGTTCAAACTGCAACATGTGAGGAAGCAGAACTTGTCACTGATAACAGATGGTATCACAAGGACAGGCTACAACTGGTAAAGAATTTTTTTAAAATATATTTTTAGTTGTCAATAGGCATTTGTTTATTTATATATGGTGCCAAGAATCAAACTAGCCTCACACACACTATGAAAGTGCTCTGCCCCTGAGGCCCAACCCCAGCCCTGGTAAAGAATTTTTAAGAAGCAGCAGCAGCAATCATTGGTAATAGCCAAAGTAGGGAATATTTGGTCATTTTTTGTGGTTAAGACAATACTCAGGATTTTGTCTGTGTTCACAAGTGATTATAG